TGTTAGTTCAAATCAAACCCCTTGGTTCGAGCTAACATGTCCCAGACTATTTGGGCCCTCGCGGACTACCGGGTCCAGCATGCCTTGGTTCAACCCTGGAGCCGTCTCCCCCAGGAGATGGATCGTGGCTCCCGCTTCTTCTATGCCCTGGAGAAAAGGAGGGGGGCTAAAAAGCATGTCACCTGCCTCTTGGCGGAGGACAGCACCCCCATCACGGATCCGGAGAAGATGGGTGGAAGGGCCAGGGCCTTCTACGCCAGTTTGTTCTCCCAGCGTTTACCTCATCCACTTAAAAATTTTTGGGTGATGAAGATTCCCCCCCCAGTAGGCAATTTATTCCAGTGCTTAACTGCCCTGGCAGGAAGTTTTTTCCTAATGTCCAACCTAAAGCTCCCTCACTTCCATTTAAGCCCATTGCTTCTTGTTCTATCCGCCAACGTTATGGAGAATAATTTTTCTCCCTCTTCTTTGTAACAACCTTTTAGGTACATGAAAGCTGTTATAGCCCCTCTCAGTCTTGTTTTCCAGATTAAACACACACTTTTTTTTTTTTTAAAAGACCTTTAATTATTTTTGTTGCTCTTCTCCAGATCTTCTCCAATTTTTCCTGAAATGTGGTGCCCTGAGCTGGACACAGTACTCCAGTGGCAGCATAATCAGTGTAGAGTAGAGTGGAAGAACAGAGCAGCACTGTGTACAAATATCTCTATGTAATATTTATAGATAAAGACTTTCAAACACTTTTAGTCATGAGGCTATCTGGTGCACCTTGCACAAATTCCTCATCAGTATGCACTCCTACAACAGCCTGGCTGGCGTGTTGGAAAACAGTGTTTCTTCAGAGCCTTTCTTTGTCACAACCTGTGTTAACTAGGGCAGTGTGCTTGCACCTGCATTATTTACCATTCTCTTTGGTGCTCTACTACTAGATTCTGTTAAAGACCACACATGAGGTATTTACATGAACTTCCATATAGCTAGCAGCATCTTCAGTCTCCAGCATCTTCAGGTTCACACTCAAGTGACTAAACTGCTGGTCAAGGCGTTCTTCGCTTATGACTGTGTATACGTAGCACATACCATTGAATATATTAGTCACCTGTTTTTCTAGATAGTGTAGATAGGGAAATCAGTCAGTCTTAGGAAAACCAAAATGCTTTGCAAGACTGCACCATGAAAAAAGTGTCCTCTGCCCCCAAAACTATAACTGAAGACATGCTGCTTAACCAAATATAATATTTTGCTAGCTTATCAGCATTCAGTCTAATAATGCCACAATCAACAGTGAAATCATGCAGTGCATTTCTAAAGCCAGTTCTTCCTACAGTCAACTTTGTCACTACCTGTGAAATGAGAGGCATTTGGCTTCACACCAAGATTTATTATGAAGTCATGTTTATTAGTGTTCTCTATGGCTGTGAAACATGGGCACTTGATAACAGGCACTTCAAGGAATTAAAGCATTTTCACTTGTGTGGACACATCTGTGGCTCCCTTTTCAGTTTACAGTCAAAAGTAGACAGTGAAAAACCCTGTGTCATCTACAATGGGAGATTCCAATAAACAGTGTATTCATCAGTCAAGAAAAAGGATCACTATCCCAGTTCTTATGCACCAAATCTGTAAAACTAAGGAACTGATGCATACCATACTTCCTCCAGATCTCAGTGGTTTATCTACCAGGGCTATAGAACACAGCAGAGATCTCCCTCAGTAGGCATTTCTGTATGATCTCCAAGTGGGAGATTACATTAATCTGAACTCCAGACAGTAGTGATCTGAGTTGTTTAAACAAAACACCACTTTCTGGGGATAAGGGCATGAAATGGCATGAAGCACCAATGTGGCTATTTTTGTATTGCACTCTATTTTCAAATACCTGTGCTATGTTACAGTAATTGGTTTGAAAAACTAAAAAAAAGTGACCTGGAAGATCTTCATACAATCATTTTATTTATAGAGAGGGTTTTGCCTCAACGCTGCCTTTTATCTTCCCCAAGCTAGTTCTGGGGATAAGGGCATGAAATGGCATGAAGCACCAATGTGGCTATTTTTGTATTGCACTCTATTTTCAAATACCTGTGCTATGTTACAGTAATTGGTTTGAAAAACTAAAAAAAAGTGACCTGGAAGATCTTCATACAATCATTTTATTTATAGAGAGGGTTTTGCCTCAACGCTGCCTTTTATCTTCCCCAAGCTAGTGTCCTGTTTCTTTAAGAGAGCTGTCAGCCTAACCCTAGCCTCCCCGCCTCTCTCCCTGCCCCGACCCCGGTCCCCCAGGGAGTACCTAGTAGAACAGCAGGCAATACCCCCCATCCGATTCCCCAGCCCCCCTGGGAGTGCCTAGCAGAACAGCAGGCAATACCTGGAGCCCTGCCAGGATCTCCGATTACACTCAGCCCCTGCTCGCTTCCTTCTGCTGATGCAAAGTGCTTTCACGAAATGCCATCCATTTCCCCCCGAGCCTTTAAAACAAAACAAAACAAAAAAAAGCCTCTTCTTCACTTTCCACGAACCTCACAAGGGGGGGGCAGTCACCTCCCTGAAATGATCGGAACTAGAAACAACGCTAGACACTGGGAGACACAGACGTGCTGCTGCCCCCAACCCTGACAAGAATACAGCATTGCAAAGAAGAAGCCATTACGAAGCACTACCCCACCCCCTCTCATAAAACAATATGGAGTACAACCTGGAGCTGCATGCTGAAATGCCAGACAGCCTCCCTGTTTTTCTCTGGGCACCGGGCAGCAAAGGCATTACACGCTTGGTGCGTTAGCAGATTTTGAAATAAAAAGCAGCTGGGAGTTAGTGACATGGGCTCAGTAGCTACATCAAAGCACAGAACTGCTGTGAACATCAACTGCGTCACGTCTTCCCGACTGTAACAATCCTGGCCGCAAAAGTGTCCCTCCTTTTGGATCTATATTCAGACCGTTTCTAAACTAGCTGCCTCTCGTGGGGAAGGATTTTGCAGCGCAATTTACTGAAACCTTTAGTCTCTTTACAGGTATATTTTGCGAGGGGTGAGGTGAGAAAATTTAACAGCCATGTAATGCCAGCATGGATTCACAATCTCCCGTCACAAAAAGCAGCCTAACAAGCACTTTAAGGAGAGAAACAGAAACCATCCTCTAAAAACATATTAATATAGTCTGTATATGTATCTATGACAAGAACAAGTTAGCAACCGTTTTACAGAAGATAATTAGGCTCTCTCTGTCCAGAGCAACAACTTTTGTTCTGAACAGGCCCGGGCTCTTTCTCTGCAAGGGCAAAAGGGTTTACTTACCTGCACACCACTGATGAATGCAGTTCTGAAGGTGAAGTTGTGTTGTTTAGCTTTTTAAAAACCATTTATAAATATATAACTATATAATCTGTATCCCCATTTCTCTGGTACATTTGACTTGCAAATGTATCTTAAGACCTCTAGAGAGATTTATATGGCAAAATGGTGTACCATCAAAAGAGATATAGAAAATGTTATCCCCAGGACTTTTACTTGGGACTTAATTCTAGGTCCCTGTGACAGATTTACTCTGTACATTAAAAGAACAGCCAGGGGCTTTCTACAGACTACACAAACTCAAAAATGTTTCCCCAAACATTTTTAGTCTGTACGTGTTAGTGTGAACACACTAAGTTAACATTTACTGTATGTAAACATTTTACAATACATTTCTCGCTGTTTTGCTTTATAAGCAAAATATTTTAAAAGCATAAATTGTTTTAGCTAAACAGACAAAACATAAGACATGCAAATAAAGGTTTAGAAATAAGGACAACTCCAGTAACATGAAAACTACTCTTAGTAAGGACAAAATGGATTAGGTACTTACAATGTAAAAGAAAAAGAAGTTTATCAGTAATTTTTGCCAGAAGTCACTATTCCTAAGCCTATATTTAAAACGTTACATTATAAGCACCAAATGAGTTAATAAAAATGGCCAGGAATTAAGTGTTTAATACAGGAGCTATTTTTTAAAAAATTTATTGTTCAGTCATAATAGTTATAAAGCTTAAAAACCCCACAAAAATATGTATTTACTTGTTTAATTCAAAATTGTTACTGCTGATATAAGGGTGTGCCATGACCTAGTTATACAAGACAAAGATGGATTCCAAATCATAATGAAAAATCCAAATCTTTTTTATCTTCCTTCTTCATTGAGTCCTTTAAAATGTTGTCAGACATTAATACAACACTGAAGTCCTGAAATGGATGGTGTGGATTCAAATAAAGTATCCCCTTTTGGAACAAAGGAAAACCCAGTTGGCCATTTAATTCCATTGCAGAAAAATGGCTGCCTGATCTGTTGGCCTCTCCTTAGCTGTCTGGTGAAGGATGTTTTTAGATCAGCGTCTAATAACTCAAGCCAAATGGAAGCTGCGCGCTGATTGGCTGCGGGCTCCTGGTGCCTTTAACCAGCCAATTACCTAACCACGACCAAATTACAAACCAAAAGTACAAGATGAGCTAAAACAACATGAAAGCCCAAATCCAGGCGAGACGCTCCTCGCCCAGGAAAAGAGGCGAGAAGAGTGATCCCCAGCTGCCTTTCACCGCTCAAACAAAATGGAAGCTCCAACCTGATTGGCTGTTGCAACCCCAGGCCCTTTAATAAGCAAAGCTGCTACTTTCTCCCCCCAGCTGGGTAATGAACACATTGTAATACAGCGACGCGATCGAACTGCGGGGAAACACGATAGCAAAGGACAGAAATATAGCCTTTCATCCCGTGCCCTGGGTTGCTCCCGGGAGGCCCCTCCACGGCTCCATTAGTCGCCCCCCCCAAACTTGTCCCACCTAGGTCCATCTTGTTTAGAAACAGTTTGCGCTTAAGGTAAACGCAGCCCGCAGATTCCAAGCAATCTCCTGCATGCAATTAACCCGGGGGGGAGTCCCCAGCCGAACTTAGGTCGGCTGGGGAAAATGCATGGCCCTTTATTTGGGGTGGGGAGGTGCCACGGCGCGGCGAGGCTGGGGGCTTCGGGTTGAGGGCGGTTAGCCATTAGCCGAGCTCCATAGTGGTGTATTGTGGGATGCCTGAGAAGCAAGCAGAAAGCACACACACAATATGTGTTGGCTCGCAAAAAAAGGAGGCAGGAGCCTTTCAAAAGCAATGTAATGTAACCAGCCAAATGTGAAAAGGAGCTCGCCTTTCGCTGCAAGGAGACGATCGGCCACCTCACACAATGTCTTTCAAGGAGATCAAGGCAGGGGAAAAAGCCAAGCACCCAGAAGATCATGGCAAAAAACAGAGTTCAAGTGAGATTGGGTCTTTTTTCCCCCCTCTTTCTGCCTCTTATCTCACGGGGGAGGGGGCTGTCTAAGAATTTTCCCTATTTTAGAGTCTTCCCGTTTGTGTATTTGTACCCAGTTTTGATGTGTTTCATGAGTGGTTGTTAAAATGGGATCTTTATTACATTTTTTTTAAACTTTGTGGGGGTTTTTCCAGGTTGGATCAACGGAATGGAGAACAGCTCGCAAGCCAGCACTTCTGTCGAGAAAAGAAATCACCACTGGAGAAGTTACAAATTGATTATTGACCCAGCTTTGAAAAAAGGACAGCATAAACTCTATCGTTATGATGGGCAAAATTTTAGCATGCCGGTAAGTGTTTGTTTTTTAAATACACTATATACCCCTTCCACACACTCTTAACTTCCTCCCCCTCCTGAATAGCCCTTGTTTAGGGGAGGAGGGCAAGGCTTTCTTAAATACTATAATAATTCATGTTGTAGCAAAAGGGAGGGGGGAGCCATGAAAGTTACTGCCACCTGACACAATGTATTCAACTGTCAGGATTCCAAAAAGGAGCTAAAACCTAGAGCTTTATTTTTCTATGTTTCCAATCTGTGTCTATTTCTCAGAGGTATTGCAATTTGACATGTATGTATATGTATGTGTGCTTTTTCTCTTCCCCTGATGCTTCCTTGCCCTGTGTGTGTCCCCCTGAAATTTCTAGCAATATTATTGATGGTTCTTGAGTGTTCTGTTCCCCCTCCCTTTTGCAGAACTCCGGAATTGCACCGGTGGATTGTGTCAGAGATCCCAGGATAGGACGAATATGGACCAAAACCAAGGAGTTGGAGCTTTCTGTTCCCAAATTCAAGGTACCTGCCCTAGGTTTGGGTTCTTGTCAATTGTTTGAGTTCAAAATAACTTAATGAGCTATTAAAATGATATTCTTATTATCTGGCAATCTGTCTAACAATAGTAATAGTCCATAAATAAATCAATACATCTGATTTGAGTTATAACACTGATGCTTAATAAAGCTGCTTAAAATTTGTTATTAAGATGGAAAAAATAACCATTTCCATATAAATTATTTAGAGTGTAGAGACAGGGTTTCCCTTGACTTAGATTGGTGTGAGTGACATTGTAGACTGTTTCTTTCCCCAGAGTTCTAAGACAACTCTAACTTTGTTCCAAACAAGTTAACTTTCTGCCGCCAATCTCCTTCCCATTTTTTGTGTTTGTATAAATCTTCAGATTGATGAGTTTTACGTGGGGCCAGTGCCTCCCAAGCAGGTAACCTTTGCCAAGTTGAATGACAACATCCGTGAAAACTTTCTGACTGACATGTGCAAGAAATATGGTGAAGTGGAAGAGGTAGAGATTCTCTATAACCCCAAGAACAAGAAGCACCTGGGCATTGCCAAAGTGATCTTTGCCACAGTGAAGGGGGCCAGGGAAGCAGTCCAGCACCTTCACAACACATCTGTCATGGGCAACATCATCCACGTGGAACTGGATACAAAAGGTGGGAAGCAGATTTTAGCTTCATACTCAGTCTAGTTGCAACCCCCAGACCTTGCATCCCCTCTCCTCTCCTAAAATGATAGGCTTTTCCAGGCTGGAGGAGATGGATGATTAAAAATACTAATAAATGAATGTTGCTCCTTCTCCCCTCTGTCTTTCCTTTTCTCTGGGCCATTGGAAGTCACGTGGAGCTGAATGTGTTGTCTGTTGCTAGGAGACAGTCCTGTAATTTACAAAATGCTGCCATCCTGTTCATTTCAATCACTTACACTGGCACCCAGTTGGCAGATTCTGCCCTTACCCTCACCCCTTTTCAGAATCTCTTTACAAATTTCTTGGTCTAAACTGGTGATAGTCTCAAGGTTTACAAATGCATTTTGAAATATGGTTATAAAGCTTTTTTCCTGTATTAGAAACTACTATAACTTTAAAAAATGCCACTAACTGCATCAGGATCCTGTTTTCAGAGCTCCTGGTGTTTCACTGGTACTTGGTATAACAAACCCAAGTTTGGCAGTAAAAAGTGCACAGCACTTGACACTGTGAGAGCGAGCAAGTATGTATGCATGTGTTTCTGTCCTGTCTTTCTTAAAGGGACAGTAACACTTGTAATCCTAATTGTAACTGAACCACAGTAGAGCTACTATAGGAATTAACAGTGCAGTACTTATTCAAATACTGAAAATATTAAAATTCTACATCTTATTGTGGTTTTTATGTGTTTGTTTTCCCCCCAAGCATGTTAGTGAAGGGTTTTTCTAAACATTTGGCTAAAAGCTAAAGTAATGAAGTGTGCAAAACATTACAGACATTTATATATTATTATTATTTATTATTAATTATTATTTATTGGCATTGTAAACAAGATCATTCTAGTTTGAAGCATAACTTGATTGCTTTTCTTTTTAAGAAAGAGGAAGAGCTCATGAACACCTCTTAAAGAAAAACAGTTTTATGTTTGTCTTAGTTAACCATACATAGTATAAAAATGTTTCAATAACCTTCAAGTTCAAAGTGTATATTACATTTAGTATGTGAAACACATATAACATAATTTCTCACATTAGTGCCTGAATATTAAAAGAATACCCTTATAAATAAACTTTGACCCTGGGATTTAATATTTTTAGCATTCTTTAACTTAACTTGGTATTACCCTGTTTAATTCCAAATTTGAGGAAAATTAATATGTACATTTAAACTGGAGCAACAGTCACTTTCATTTTTAATAATGCAAGTTAAAGTGGATTCACAGTGGTGAGAGTAGATGTTAAGAGACCTTTTTGAGCAAGTTGATTGGAGAGTTTTACTCTTGTTTTTTTTTTTTATATTTCACTTTTGTAATCCTAGAACAGTGGTTGGTCTAGGAAGTATAACTTCATGTCAAGAAGGTGGTGGTTTAGAATATTTTAATTATTTAGTGAAAACACTAAGATCTCTTAATTTTAAATTGCACTTTTTTACATATAACTCATAAGCTATCTGTATTCCTCTACTTTTAATCTTTTATAAACTTGTGGCTATTTTGTTTTGTTCTTTTAAAAGATGCAGTAATACCAGAAATGTTTTGTGGTCTGGAAAGATCAGTTAAACTATAATGCTAAAAATAGTGGTTGCAACCTCTGACATCTTTGGGTACACAGTCTATAATTTTTATTTTACATATCCATTTATTCCTAATATTCATTTTTCAAAAACATAGTTAAATGTATTTTTATAAAAATCAATACTGGATTACAAATTTTAACAAAATGGGTATAAAAAGGAGTGCAAGAAGTTTCATCCGTGTACTTAATCATGATGTGGTCAGAGCACAGGACTAGGAGTTTGGAATTCATGTGTTCAGTTCACATTTCTGAGATGGACTTACTTTATCGCATAAGGCAATTCTTATCTTCTTCCATTTCTCCATTTATAGATTAGATATACTACTTAATTACCTACCTGCATGGCGGTAATTCAAAGCTGCTTGAAAAGGAAAATATAAATGCTAACTATTATTATTTTACTGAATAAAAAGGAGAATGAGGAAGCTAAGGTATTTATACTCATTTGTGCAATTTAAAAACATTTTAAAACTTGCTTCTGTATCACAACATTCATGGCAAGTGCTATCATCTCACATGAATTCAATATTTCAAATACTGTAGGATAGATCTCCAGTGGTCAAATTATCATAGCTCCATTCACTTGAATTGGGCGATGATTGTTGACACGAGGAGGATCTGGTCCAATAGTATGTATGAGAAGCAGTGTACTAAAACCAAGTTAATGAAGCCTGAGAGGTGGCATTTATTTATGCAAATTTGAATTTAATGTGTGTTTTACCTGAATAATGCAGTATCAAGCTTCTAATCTGGAACAGATTCTTTGGACAAGTGCATTAGTAGATACTAGTTACTCACAACTGTGTATGAGAATTGGGTATTTGATCCTGTAGCACTTACTCATGTAGATCTGTTAAGTGGGAGTACTCACTCTCATGAGTACATGTGTGAGAGTGGCTGCAGGTTCAGGGATTGGATTTGTGCCTTTTTACGATATTCTTTCTCAGTTATACATTACTTATTTTTTTTTTATTTGTAGCTTAAAAGAAAAAGATGATAACCCTAGATAAGAAACAACTCTGCTGTATTGACTCAAATCAAATTTTCAATGTTCAAAAATATTATCACATTTTAAAAAACAAAGAACCTACCCCTCATGTAAGCAAAATTGGAAATATCTCAAAAGGTCTGATCCAGCTTCTCTTGAATGCAGTGATAAACTTTCTGACTGCAAAATGAGTAGGCTCAGGCTCAAAGTAGACATTTGTCTAACATTAATAAACTATGTCTTCATTAGAATTCAGCAGCCTGAAAATGAGTGTTAAACATTGATAGCAATGTTGTATAAGGGTCTGCATTCTTTAGAATGCTCATGCTAGGAAAGTACTACATACACATTACATAGAAAAACAGGTTAGCCAGTACCTTGGAAAAGAAGAAACAATTAGTTTGACCCTTGGATTCAATTGCATCTCATTTGTATTGATAACAGCTCAAATCTTTCCACTAGCATATATGTGGAAAAGGCTTCTAAACTGGTAGAAGCAGTTGTTGCATTTAGTGGGAAGAAGCTTTTATCAAAGTTACAGTTCTGATACATTTGACACTTGTGAGGAGAGATTTCAGCACTCTAGAAAGCATTGTGCAGGAATAGAGCAGCCAAATAGAATTGGGGGAGGGGAGGTGCTACATAGAAATCTCTCTCTTGAGGGAGCACATTAACAGAAGCTAGTGTATCCTTAATATACATCAAGTTTCAAGGGTAACTACTTTTGTTGGATTTGCCACAGTTAAGTTTGCTTTCCAGTATCCTTTCCCATTAATTTCAAAGAGGTATGGCTCATTGTTAATGCATTTTTTTCAGATACCGTGGTTGAAGATGTGGTCACTAAGGGACCACCTTGCATCACTCATTTGGCAGATTTTTAAGAAACAGTGTTGCTTATCTTAACTGCTGTCCTGGCTTCCTTTTTTGGAAAGATGTTGGCTGAAATGGAGGCTATTAAGAGAGATGTCTGGGTCTGGGGAAAGCTTAATAAAGAGACTTATGATGTATGGTGTATGGCTTTTTTTTTTTAAATAAACTTTCATTGTGGTTTGCAGGTGAAACTCGTATGCGGTTCTATGAATTGCTGGTTAATGGTCTTTACACTCCGCAGACCCTTCCTGTAGGCAATGAGCAAGAAGTCTCACCAACTGTGAATGAAACTCAGCAGGTATGGCTTACTTAGGTGTATTTTAATAGTACATATCTAAAAACTTACAAGCAGACAGTGGTTCATTCAAATAAATTCTCTTGTATTATAACAAGTGATGTGTGGGATTGCTTTGTTCTGTCCTCGGGTAGTTTTGTCAATACATTTTAAAAATTACCTTAAAATTAATTATTTGTACTTAGATTCAGTTATTAAATTCAGTAACAGTATCCTATACAAATTCATGCTGTGCCTAAGTGTCTGAATATTGGGGTGAGTGATTTATGTCCTGTTACAAGTGTAAAGATTTTATAGAACCAACCAAATGCTATTTAGTAACTGTAGGAATTTCTGTAATTAAAGATGCAGGGCCAGATCCATCCATGGGGTCCTTCTATTGAAGTCGGTGGAGCAGCATGCAAGGATAAACTTGGCCTATTGTCCTTCCCATTAAAGGTTATTCAAGGTTTTTGCTAGGAGACAGGAACGATGTATGTTTTTTGAATTTTAAAGGTTGGGATATCTTTTATGCCCTTTTTCCCTCCTCTTAAAATGTCAGAAATGCCCATCTTCTGTAGTTTTTCAGGAGGTTGTCTCAGGGTTCTGAGTTGTTTTTTGTTTTTCTCCCACATTTTTTTAAAATGACAAGTGGAAGTGTTGTCTTTCAATGACTTCAGTTCTTCAGAAAGGTCATTGGAATCAGTTATTTAACACAGAGGCCAAAAGTTCCAAATACGGGTTTCTGAAGTTATGCTTGTAAATAGTCCTCTTGATCTTGAATTGACTGAAGAGGTCACCTGCTTCTTCACAGATCTCCATTTAAATCGAGAGACTCTTCATGGGCCTATGTCATGTGGAATCACTTTCTTGATTGCCATATATACTCAAATAAAAGTGACCTAACTTTTCAGTGATCTTGAGCTCCTATGGATGTCTAACTGGTTTTATGTAGGATTCAGATTATGAATTTAGGAGTCTGAATTTAAGGCATCCAGGTTTAGAAGTTTTGCCTTAAAGAGTTTTGAACATTATAACTATACATCTTTCCCCTCTCAGTTGTTCACTTTTTTGTTTTAATCCTTACAATGTCCTCATCTCACTAGCTTTCCAGAAAGACAAGACTTGAATACTGAATGTGAAAATCAAACTGAAAAAAGCCCCCCTCCAAACACAATCCTTCAGTCATCTTTCTCCATCATAAAGAGGCCTCATTTCTTCCTCAGCAGGTCAGCCTTAAATGGGGGAGAGTAGGTAGCCTGGATGCTTAGGTAGCAGCTTAGTTTTGCCATGTGCTGAGCATCCCCTGTTGGGCACCTACCGCTCTCAGCGACTTCAGGAGTGAATGGTGCTCAGTGTTTCACAGGAAAGTACTTACTGTCTCATCACAGATGATCCAAAATGAACATGTAGACCCCTGCTATTAAGAGTTGTTTTTCACAGTTATTAATGAGACTAACTGCTCCATCATTTTCTGTTTATACAAGTCTCCAACATGATTGTAGATTAAAAGTCTTGCAATTTATTATACAAAATTTACTGTATGTTGAATTTTTTGGGTTACTCACAGAACACTAATTCTGGTGATTCCTTCAGTTAATGTCCACCAGATTCTGCCAAGATGCTTCTAATATGCTATAGTAATTTCAGTAGAGTAGCTTGAAATTTCTTCATTTGCCTCCTCTCCTCCTGTTTCAGCAGTAAAGATCAGCTGATTTGCCTGCTCCCTTCTGAGCGCCTGCTCCACTGCTCAACCTGATCCAAAGCCTGTTGAAGTCCATAGAAAAAGCTGGATCTGGCTTTTAAGTTGCCCATGGCTAGGAGTGTTCCCTTGGCCCTCACCTGCAGGCAATCAAACATCCAGGGAATTGATACACAAATTGATAATAGGAGGAATAACTATAACCTAAGTTGCCTTTGTAACTTTTGGAAGAGGTTGGGGGCAGGGCAGAGTAGGGGTGGGAGGAGGGATGGAAGAGCAAGCTTAGATGCCAAATCTTTTATGGTCTGCAGCAGCTGTACCATCCAAAAAATAATGAAATATGTAAGCATGTTAGTATCACTGTATCAGTTGTGTGCTGTATGAAACCTGACAGTGCTGATAATTCTGCAGAGCCATTGGCATGTGATCTTTTTACATTAAAAAAAAAGATAGTTGTAAAAGATCCTATTCAAATGTTATGTCACTGTGGCCTCCATAAAGTCTCTGCTTTTTGGTTGGTGGTTTCTGTTTTTTTGTTACTGTTCTAGAGCTCAGTACAGCTCCTGCTAATGTGCAGGGAATTTGGATTGGGTCACACTCTACTGCCTATCTACATTACTGAACATTGATTTTTGTGTGATATTGATGTGACTCATCATTGTTTGAGGGTTTCTTTTTTCTTTCTGTTTTGTTATTGGTGTCAAACTCTAATTGTATTGTTTGGATAAACTCCTGAATGGGCTTTTGAAGTAAATTGCATTGAGATGGATCATTTGGCTGTTCTTCTAGGTTCATGTTTTTTAGTTTTAAGATTCCACCGCTGGAAACATTCCACTTGATCATATGTCTTTGTGAAGTTTGTTTAATTTTTACTTGTTTGTTTGCAGTCCAGCTACATCCTCTTTACATAAAGGAGAAAGATTTATTCATCTGTTAGAACTTAACATGTGACTTGTGGGGATATAGAGAGTTTGAGCTGACCGATCAGGACAAAGCCCCATCGACTTCCACAAGTTCTATACTTGCATTTGGGTTCTGTGTGAAACTGACTGCAGGTGTAGAGCCAGTTGGTGTGTTGTGTATGGTCTGAAGTGTAAATTAGCTACTTGGGTCTGTTTGACACAGTATGAAGAATCTGAAGCTTTTGGTTTTAGTGATATTCTTTCGTAATCTTTATAGTTGCATTCAAAACCAGTTGGCAGAATTTTTTTATTTTCAGCATTCTTGATGTCTCGAGGATTCTGATCCTCTTGACATTTGCTTCTAAAGAATAAAAGAACTTGCCTATTTCCTTCACTTGCTCTCTTACCGACTATTTTAAAAGCAAAATAACTGCCTACATATTTTAATGGATAATTGTGGTAACTTGGTTTTCAGTGTTGCAAATACCTGCTCCTACCATAGCATGTCTTGGTGCTCAACTTTTCAGATAAGCAGACATCGTTTTGGAAAGAGGTGTCTGTATGTGCATAGGTACCTACTATTTACTTTTATTTATTTATTTTTTTTATAGTTGACTGATTCTGTAAAACGTCTGAAAGACAGCAACCTTTCATCTGCGGGATCGTCCATTACCCCAAACAGCAGTACTCCATTTTCCCACGATACTGCCTATTCCAGCTGTCGGCAAGACACCCCAAACTCATATAGCCAGTATACCCCACAGTCCCAAGGAACCCCACTCACCCCACGACTGGGGACTCCGTTTTCCCAAGATTCAGCCTATTCCAGTCGTCAAACAACACCAGCTTACCATTATGGACAGGACTCAGGGTATAAACCCAGGAGACATGAAACAAAATTTACAGATGCCTACAACAGGCGACCAGGACATCACTATGTCCATAATTCGGCAAATGTTTACAGAGGGTCAGAACATCAGTTTAGCACATACAAGTCTCATCAGCAAGAGCCAGTACAATATTCTCACACTCCTCCCTTGAGCCACTCTGGTTCTTCAACTTATAAATCTGCCTTCTCTCCATACCAAGCACCAGCTGTGTTTCCTCCTTCTGATGAGCAGCAATATTCCCAAACTTCCAGAGATGCTGAGTACCGGAGACCTGTACCACCTCTAGCCGAGATCTTAATAGAAGGTAATGCTGCCACTAATATTGACTTTGTTCCTGTGAAAGAAAAACAGGAGGAACTCCCACCTCTGCCACAGCCAAACTGTGTTACTGAACAAAGTACTGCATCCTTCTCTCAGACGCCAGAAAGGAGTGAAACACCTGGCACCCCAACCATGGAGTCTGAAATGCAGCATAACAGTTTAGACTCAAGGATTGAGATGCTCTTGAAAGAGCAGAGAACAAAGTTACCTTTTCTCAACGAGCATGATTCGGACAATGAGATCCGAATGGAAGGTAGCCCTATCTCTTCCTCCTCCTCCCAACTTTCTCCTATCCCATTGTATAGCTCGAATGCTCAGCCCAGTTATAGAGGTCAAACCCCATCCTCACGTCCCTCCAGCACTGGCTTAGAGGACATTAGTCCAACACCGTTACCAGATTCTGATGACGACGAGCCAATCCCTGGGACACTTCCTCTGAGCCAGAATTCAAGAGGGACATCAGAGGCTGGTATGATTCCTATTGATCAGCTAAGTAGCACATCCAAAGCAGAGACTTCTGAGACTAAAGAAATGCTACCTGGTGACCAGACACCAACATCAGAAAAAATGGATGAGGTAAGATCAAGAGAGAATTTAGAAAATCTATATGTACGTGACTAGAACAAGGTAGATCATGTACTCCTATTTAAAAAGTTGTCTTTAGAAACTGAGGGTGTGTGTGTGTGTGTGTGTGTTAGCATGCATGGTTTTAGCTAGGTTTGGCTCAGGGAGTTGGTAATGGGGTTGATGTGATATGAGCTGATAAGGATGTGAAAGGTTAACCAGGTCAGTCAGTAATCATCACCCTTAATGGGTAATGGTAACTGTAGGGTAAACTGAGGCAGTCCACTGGTTCTGGTTAACAGGGGGCTGTAGCAGCACCCCCCTTACCATGGGCAGGACATTGCTCAAGCCCTGTGGGTGGTCTGGGCACTCCACAGGCAGGGGC